TTTGAGTAGCCAGGTTTTGCTGCGCCGGGACAAGCAAATGGTGCATGCGACACGCAAGGCACAGGACTTGGCAATTGCAGCAGGGAATATGTGCAGAGATGTTGGGGTGTCAAGCAGTTGCCACTTGAGCAAAAGCAGGAAGCAGGAATGCTCCGTGTGAATGCGATTCCTTCTTGAGTTCATCCATGCAATGGAGCGTCCAACACGTGTGTCTAAGCAAAACACACCAACACCAACAAACACACTTACCCAAACTATGGCAAACAGCAACCTCTGGAAGCTGCGTTCAAGCCGCGCAACACCTCTCTGTAGTCGCACATGGTTGTGGCAAGTCTCCCCTTCTCTGATCAACCATGATGTCGCAACCCTCTTCCTTTCATTGTTGCAAGTGCTCCGCGCTCGCAACTCTGTAGGGCACTAACACCGCACACCGCATGTCAAAAACGGTGCGAAGCATCGCTCACTGCCTGGTCACCGGCAGAGACCTCAGCAGCCCTACGCTTGCCGAATGGAAGCTGGCATCGCGTTTGCTGGCTGCGCGACTGTTGCAGTAAGCAGGTGATGTGTCCAACGTGTGCCTTCCACGTGCGTTCAAAGACCGCAAAGAGAGCACCGACCTAAGACTCGTCACCCGAGTCGACATCTTTGACTCAAGGTCCAGTCGCGGATGTCGCGATCAATGCGTTGCAATGTCGATCACACACATGCGCCACGACGCTGCAAGCAATACACTACGTTGCAAGCTGAACATGTGGTGACTCTTGCTCCAGCTTCCCCAGTGCCGCTAGCCAACCCGAAGCCAAAAGAAAGCACGGACTTTTCCTCAGCGCTTCCGCGCTGTCAGGACGTGTGAAATTCCGAACCTGCGACTTCCGGCCAGTCGCAAGCGGGCGGAGACTTTGCCTTGGCTGCTCTCACTGACTGCACCAAGTTGTCATTTTTGGATGGGAGGGTTAGTGGCAACATAAGTCATCTGTCAAAAAGGCAGGGCCAAACTTACACCCCATTCAAACAGCCAACATTTGGTAGGTTCAAAGGACACGTGAAACCCAAGTGCAAACGGGCAAAAGGGTTCGGTCTGGCCTCAGAAAGAAGTCCTGGGGTCTCTTCGGAAGTTACAATGTGAGGTGTTGAGCGCATCCGGAGCGTCGTGTTGATTTTTGGCTCACAAAATCACAAGACCCCTCAAATGGTGACAGTCACGCTTTTTTGTTGCATCCCCCCCCCCAAAAAAAAAAACTGGAACAGGAAGCGCGCGTTCCGGAAAGAAGCAAACAAAAAAACAGACACAGACCGCCCACGCGTTTACCGAGCTGGCGCCAAGCCGCCGCCCTAGGAAGTGGCCAGGATCTCCATCGCCTTCTGGAGGGACTCGATCTCCTCTTGCCGCTGCTTCTCGCGCTCCTCCGATTCATCCGGAGCCCATTCCGCGGAGGAGCAGGCGGGGTTTTAGCCGAGAAGGGAAAAAACCGCCTGACTGAAGGGTGCCCTATATTTCCCCTCTAAACAGCACACCAAAGGGAGACTCACTCAAAATGGCCCCCCAAAAGCTGTTCCAACCATCCTGGAGGACCCCTGCACCCTGCTGAAGTGGTTCTTTCGTTTCTTGCAGGCGCAGGGCGCCCTTTCTAAAATCGACCGGCCAAAAAAGCCACGCGCCCCGTTCCTCTTTTTCTTCTTCTTTTTCATTTTTTTTGGGGGAACGAGTGGAAGCCCCCGCGTCACCCAGGAAAAAACAGGGCGTCACAGACCTAGCTCCAAAAAAACGCCCCCTGGCTTGGTTTGGCCCAAACCTCGGGCCTGGAGGTCTTGGAAGGCGGCTCACAATTCAAACCCTGTGAAGGGCTCTGCTTACATACAAGTACATGTATATATATATATATATATGTATATATAGTAGTATGTATATATATATAGTAGCAAGTATGTATATATATAGTAGTATTATACACATGTATCAAATATAACTTTCAGGAGCCTTTGCCCAACCACGAAAAGCGGCACACTACAAGCATCTAGTTCCACAAAGAGTGGATCTGGCTGTTGTGAAGCACAAGGACACGAGCTGGGCGCACCCGGATTCTCATCACTGCTGAAAACATCTTAAGCCCGCTTGCTCGGCCAACATTGATGCAACCCTTCGAGGGAACTCGCAACCTCTCTTTTGTAGGGTATCATGTCATTGGTTGACCTTGGAAGCGGAGCAAGAATTTAAATTTTAGCAGTGAAGTTGTTGTTTTTCCACTAAACCACAATGTTTCCCAACAACCACCATAGATTAAAACCCAGTTCAAAAAAAGAAAAGAACATACGTGTTCAAGACCCGTAGTAGCGTTTTCCCGAAGTGGCACAAATCAAAAAGTGCCAAATGAAAACATATTTGATTGGTCTCAAATAGGGGACCTGAAATATTCCTAGTTTTTCGGTGGTTCTCCCTGTTAAAACACCTAAGAAGGGCACCCTCAACAAAAAAGACACACTTGGAAGTAAAATTGTCTTGGGGGTGGCTAAAAGATCGGGGCCCAAAACATGGAACCCACTCATGAGCGTCCAACGTCGGACGACTGAATCCGAAGTAATCCACGGGTTGCCGTGGGGAGACTTAACAAACCGATATCGGCAATGTATACCACAATGCCAAAACCAGACATCAGGAATCTTCAGGGAACTTCATCATGGGTTCCTCATGTTGTCTCCGCGGCGAGGTCGAATCCTATGAAAAAGGACACCAAGAGGGGACACCAAGAGGGGACACCAAGAGGGGACACCAAGAGTGTGACACCTCGGTCCATTTGGGTATGTCAAACTAGGTCACAGGGATTTGGACCGCCGAAAAATGGTGGTTGTTCTTTTCATGCTTAAAAAGGGTAATTACCAACTCCAAAACTGCTTGTTTTCTATAGTACCGCTGTCTCGCCAGAAAATGGTCGATGCAATTCGCAACGGCATTTTGGGTTGCATTGCCTCCACGAGGACTTCAGGAGCGAACATCTCTATGCATTGCCCGTCTCAAAATAAGAAAACCAAGAAGAACATGGGTACCAACTCGGAGAATAGCGAAAACAGGCCCTGTCCAAATTTGAGTCGTTATGTGAACCGTGGAAGGTGCTGCTAAAGCCATGGGGTCAACAAATTTCCATCTGTGCCATCTAGTGGTTGGGGAGCTCAGCCCCGTTCCGGGAACAAAAGGAGCAACGCCCAAAAAAACAAAACAAGGGGCCGGCCCCTCCCAAACAAGAAGGGAGAATTGTTCTAATGGACTGGTTTTCCAGCCCGCGCCACAGTTTCCCTTGCATGATCATTTTCTTTGTTGCCTCAAATATCAGGGGATCATGATCATGTGTTTGTTGCATCCATTTGGAATTTGGGATTTCCATTTCAACGGCTCAGTTCGGCCGGCGGAAACGAAGCGGAGCGAAACAATTGGCCTCCCAGGCGGCCCCGCCCTTCACACAGGGCGGCCTCGGAGCTCGGAGCGGGAAAAGGGGGGGGGAGAATCTCACTGGCAGGTCAGCGAATGAAGGATTTTTTTCTGAAATGACGCCGAAACTAGGTTTGAATCCCTGATTTCATGAATCAAATGACCACATGAAGCCATGTTCAGGACCACTGAAGGACCATACCTGGCAGTTTCCTTCAAAATCCAGAGGTTCATCCCCAAACCCCTTGTGACTGAATGAATGACCCACTCTGTTGTAGCTTGGGTTCATTCCCATACCCTGGGTTGACTCCCGAAGAACCAGCCAGCAAATCATACGGCCTGGCTTTCCATGTTAGGAAGAACATGTGGTTCATTTGTTTGAGTTGGTAAACCAGCCAGCAAAATGGTGGTCGAAAAATCCCTACAAGTCCATGAGCAACCTACCAGACCAGCCCCAAGCACTCGGTCCTTTGCCCATTGAACGTACACCATAATAAGGTAAGTAATTAGGGTACACTCAACATATTTGTTCAGATTTTGCTTATTTCGTCAACCACATACAAAAGTATTTGCTGAGACCTCAACAAATCCAAAGTGGTTGATTCCGCATGTCTGTTCCGCCCAAAGCTTCTGTCATTGATGGGATTCTGAACGTTGTGGCTTGGTGTCCAAACTAAGCACCTGTAACCTTCACCATCCGCACGTCATTGAACATCTAAGACATCTGCGGATCAAGTTACTACTTCCTGGTTGCGAAGCGCCTGTGTTCCCATGTGCGGGGGGCCCAAACCGCACCGGAACCACGATTTGGCAACCGGGAACCACAAGCCAAACCGGCCAGAAGATGTCACCTCAGTCATGGGAAAGAAAGGGGAACCCTTTCGTTTGATTTTCTTCCTTCTCTTCGAAGAATTCCGGAAAGAGGCAGGGCGGTTGCATGGCGGTTGCATGTTGTCTATGAAAAGCTGGATGTCAATCAAGGTCCTTGAACACGCACACACTGACAGGGAAAGCCATGGACGTTATCTCGTCTCGAACGACCACTCCAATCTTTAGTTGACTGCTCAAGACCCAAGTGCGGAAACTTGGTGTGATTCAGGTTTGCACACAACGTAGTGTCCCAAGTTTGCTGAATAGCTCGTGATAAGAGCCCATTTTGCAACTGCATGTTTTACTCGCCGCGGGCTGTCTTGGCACAAGTATTGATTTCGCTGCGGCGGAACAAAGAGTGCATATCTTGAAGCTCTGGCGCGACAAAAGGCTGAGCGATGCGCCAGCCTTATAGAGATTGACAAATCAATCCGCGCCAGGCTTTTGGTTTACAAAGGAAGGCAGCAGGGTGACCCAAACTGATTGGCAGAGAGGCGGTCTGGGGTCCGACAAGATGACATCAGGTACGCTCAACAGTCCTTGTTCCCCCAAAAGGGCATGGAATATCCGCCGACACTGTTCGGCGTGTCGGACGCCTAAGAGAGGATAGAGGATAATTACCCCGCTGAGAGAGCAATGTTGGTGAACTGAGCCGGACGATCTAAATAGTGAGTCCCTTATGTCCCTACCAAATGAACTATAGACTGATGGAAGTTATGACTAAACCTCATGACAAACAGCTTGCGCCGATGTGACGAAGCGCTTGAGCAGCGCTTACACTCTTGAAAATGTGTACTGTCAACATGTGGAAAAACAATCTCTTGCAGCAGAATCCCTTTTGGGATCAAGAGAGTAGACGGCCACGGCCCATGGCAGTAGCAAAGGAAAAAAGAAACAGTGCTCATCGCTCAGCCCGTGTTGGCAAGCCAAGCTTTGCGAACTTGCGCTCGCACGCTGACACCTTGGAGCTGTAGCAGTCATCCTCATAGCCGGGCTCGCCGTAGCGGGGCATCCAGCCCATTGCCTCGCGGATGCCGTCCTGCACAACTCGGGCGAAAGGAACCCAACCTCAGCTGCCCTTTGGCACCAAGCAACAGCTTCCTCTCGGAAGATAGTCTGGAACCAACACACCCTTTAATTGCCCCTTTTTGGGGCTCTATGTTGTGGGGAGTGGCCCTAAAAGTGGCTGCCAAACGTGAACAACATGAACCGACAAGTCAGGCTGGATTTGGGCGACTGAGTGGCGCAGCACGGTGGGCAAACTTGGATGGACCCAGGTGTACTGCCCAAAGTGCCGAAATAATTCAAGTGCAGGTTGTGCCCGAAGGCTGGCCGTGACATCCGACCACCTGCAGCTGTTCATGAAGACCAGCCCCGTCTCTGGGTCCGGGATATTCCTCACTTTGTGCCAATACCATGATGGGTTCACATAGACGTCGCCGGGGTTCAACGCCACTTCACGGACCGGCAGCCGATCCCAGGTGCTCTTGCCCTTTAAGGAGTTAAAGCCAGTGCTGAAGGGATCGACGACCATTTCAACCCCCAAGAAGACCGAGTACTTGCCATCTAGGACGTCCCAGATCTTGGTGCCCCGGTACATGCCCACCAGGTTCACGTTGTTGGCGTTGTGCCACTGCAGCCCCTTTCCACCTCCGTTGATAAAAAGCGCCAATGCCCTGCACCCTTGGGGCACCCCGATGCGCTCCAGGCCCATGTCCTCCGCGATGTCGGGGTAGCGAGTCACCATCTCATCCAGGCCGTTGGTGTAGCGATAGATCCCTTGGCGGATGGCCTCCACGTACTCCGAGAACTTCACGTCACGGTAGGTGTACGCGAACTTGAAGTCGTCCCGGGGAACGGCCTCGATCATGTCGAAGTCTCCTCGGCTGGTCAGGGAAAGGCTTCGAGTGTCTTGAAATCTCGAAAGGAAGCACACTCCGAAAGAGTGTGAAGGGGGTGGCACTAGGCAACTGGGAAAAGCAGAAAGGGCCCAAGACTGATGCAGCTCCGGCATGCCAATCATGCAAGCAACACGGGCTTCTCGTTGGGGGTAAGTGGAATGTCAGCATCTCAGCACTTCAAAAGAACCAGGTGTGCATCCACATAAATGAACCAACTGTTGCCAACCGAGAGGGCCCCTCCCATTCGAAGAAAGAAAAAATGACCACTTTTGTGAGTTACCTAAGAAAAAGCCCGCAGGGCCGGTCGGCTGCGGGAGCGAGCCGGTGTCTTTGTCGTTTTCTTCTCCTCAGCGCCACAAAAATGTTCGGTCGAGTTGCCGTGGGACTCCACCCACTGAGGCGAGAGGAAGTTCTGGGAGCCTCTGGTGTCGTTCAAAAGGCCCCGGACCTCAGCGAGACGCTGAAACCGCCGACGCTTCACGGCCTCCCATGGAAGGAATCTGAAGGAGACCAAGAAGACCATTTAGGTTTCAGGGAATCTTTGCTTTTTTGCTCTTAACGAAGCATTGTAGATGTTTTCATGCGTGATTGGAAGATGTAGATGACTTTGTGATTGAAAGAAACGGATTGCTCATTCTGTGGACATGGCAGTGCATCCAGTTGGACCCCTCCGAACACGTTGCCATGATGATTTCCCTTTCAACTGACAAGGGGCCCTGCTTTGACATATCCCCAACTCTTTTCCGCCGGTCTAGATTAGATGTTAAGCTTATTTCACACACCATCTAAACATGTCAACTCGAAAATCCATTTTGCGTCCATCACAGTGCCTGTCATCTGCCAAAGATATACACTCCAAACTCTGACACAAGAACCCGCACTCACCCGCCCGCCCTAAAAGGATCCTTCATGGAGGACCCGCGCTGTTTGTCCGACGCCTTCGCTGTCAATTCAATCCCCAAAAAGATATTGTGTATGCAACGCGAGTTGAACCCCCTTTTCAACTCGTGGCAAAAGGAAATCGACATGAGTTAAACGAGTGCAAAAAGACCCTTGTGGGGAAACGGTAGATGCCGTTTCAGAAAACCGCAACACCATTTTGCATCTGAATGGGAAAAAACTGTCTGGCAGTGCATGTCTTTCATTTCCCTCAATGACGGACTCCTTCACATCTGATCTCACCAGAAAGGAGACACTCATAGGGGGGAGTCCTCAACTCAACCTGGAGAATGACCCCCTTCGGGTTGTTCAAGGGAAACCACAAGTTGTGTTTTTCCAGGAAACTACTTCGGGGAACTGCTGGAAAGGATAACCATTTCCGGAAATCTTCTGGAAGCCTGTAGGAATTCGGCAAACCTCAAACGAAAACCACTTTTAGCAATCTTCAAAGGGAAACCACCCTGGAATCATTGCAAACAAACAAATCCTCTTGAAACCTTTGAAGGCACCTCTTGGAACGGAACTAAAAAAAACTGCAGACAAGAGAAACTGTTGCGCATCATATGGGGGTGTCTACCAAAAAGGACAAGGACCTGTCACTTTTTTAGCACTCTTGTTCCAACCAAAAACACTTTTAACAGGATACATTCATTTTCGGACGCACAACCACCCGCCCTTTTCTGAAAACGAGTCGCCACGATGGGCTTGCGGAATCCCTCCGACAAACGCTCCATCTTCTCCTTAACCGTCCCGTTGAGGCTCGACCGGTGGGCAAGGAGAAGAAAAAAACGAAAAGGGGCAGCTGCCATGGGCCGACTCAATGCCAAGATGTAACGAGGTGGCCAATGTTGGCCCCATAGCAATCAACCCTCATAGGGAGGCAGTTTTTGGCGCCTCCAAAAGTGGTCTGATTCCCAACATTTCACCCAGGGACAGCCCCCCATGAAAAAACAGGGGTTGATTAACATGGGGTCAACATTACCAATACGAGACATTCCCAACTCCCGAATCTTCCGGGAACCTTCCGGAAACTGGGGAACCGGTCCGCTGGAACCTTGCGCCTCTCGCAAAGACCCTTCCGGCACATCCAACCAGTCACAGATCAATGGGAACCTTCGGAAAAACAAACCCCAATTTTCCAAATACTGTGGATGGACGAAATCCTGCACCACCTGAGAAACCCTGGAGTGACGATTCCCTTGTAAATACCAACAACACTAGCTTCCCATGGTTTCAAAGTGGTGCGAACGGAGAGCGTCCATTCACAGTATGGCTGAGAACATCGCGAAGGCCCTGGCCCCAACTGCGGCAAGGCGCGGAAATGGCGTCCTTTCTGTGATACTAAGGTGGGATTCCCGTCCCGACCGGGCATGCTTCACTGTTCGTGCTTCGCTGATTGGTGTCAAGGGTTCGGGAAGATGGGAGCCTTGGTGTTTGACCAAGGAAAAATCAAAACCGCACCCGAATGCGGACATCACCTGTTCAAGCTCAAGAATCCCAGGAGTAGTCTGCGACGTGCATCTCTGCAACTTCTCCTTCTTTGAAGTTCTCCGGATTCCTGGCCGAGCGGAGAGTGGAAACTGCCATGCAAGCCATTTCCCAAAGGTGCCAAAAGTCAAGGGACAAAAATCACACGACACATGATGCTTCGGGGCAGAGACTCCACCACATCTCCAAGTCCAAATAGCTGTCCAGCCAAGGCTGCACGAATTCTGCATCTCGGAAGGGCAGGTACACGAAAAGGACAGCCTTCCACCGCAGGTCAGGAATGCCCATGCAAGCCAGCGCAGCTGCTGCACAAGCCACCTGGATGGATAAGCATGCCGTTGAGCGATGTTTTGCAGCCATGGCGACAACAAGCAAATTGTGCTCCGAGAGAATAGCACTCGCAAGACAATGGCTGCGCATGCCCAGCGGTATCTATGGTCTTCTCAGCGCATGAGTACGTGAGAGAAGTGGACCAACAGCCGCCAAATAAAATCCAAGGGGGTCCCTCGACCAGGGACCCAATTTTATGTCTCCCCGAAAGCATCATCCCCATCAAAGGGACTGAGCGGGTTTGAGGGCGAAATAACTAAACCCTGTGATACCAAAGTGGTCTTCATGGCCGACCGCTGTGCTACCTTCGAGGCAATGCTCTTGGCGCAGAAACCACCCAGTCTGATGGCCTTTGTAAGCTGCCGCTTGTGGGTTATGGCCGACGACTTTGACAACAGATAGAACTGCACATCACTCACATCACCCTCAAATTCTGGCTTCTAAACCCATCAGCTCCTTGAGGTTTGGGCCCAAAGGTTTGGGCCCTAGACCGAGGAGAAAGGACCTCCTGTCCGATGGCAGGCTTCGTGACAGGAAGGTTGCACAGGTTAGATTACGTGATCATAAGGAATCAGAACGGATGCAGCTAGGTTATGGTCTGAACCACGCAAAACCCTTTGGAAAAAATCCTCAAAGGGTGCCTCCTCCCGACTCTTAGCTGGGTCGTACCAAAATAGCCTATGACTAGTTTTCATCCTGGAAGCGGATGCCCTCCAATTACACAAACAGTGGCCCTAAAACCACCCAAGAACCTATTTTTTATTTTTCCTGAGTGGATGACCAAGGAGTCCGAACTGTTTGACCAACTCCCACAAGTGACTAAGGTCCACCTCCAGTCTCTGGTGATTCCCTTCTCATATCACAAAGGTGGGCCGGCGGGCCCCAGACCGAAAGAAGAAGAAAAAAGCGAGTGCCCATACACCCCAAGGTTCCGGGGGGGGGGGAGAAGCACTGCAGCGCCGCCGCCAGCTCCTGCTCCCCGGTCTGCAGCTCGGAGCCTCGCGGCGCCAAAGAAGAGGATCTGGGCTCGGCGAAGCGCCCAAACCCCCCCAAAAAGAAAAACGCACCAGGGCCCAAGGGGAGAGCTTCCCGTAAAGCCACCTAAAAGCAGGGCAAAGGAATTGATTTGATCTGCACTCTAAACCTCTGAGGCGGAGGTAGGGAGTGGGAATAGGAAAAAACGTGGGCTTCAGCTCTTCGATTGTTGACGGTGCCCACATTCTGTGCAGGAAGCAGCAAAACACCTGAGGGCCGCACCCGCCCCTTCTCAGTAGACACCGAATGTGTAAATGTCGCATGGCAAAAAGGGCTTCCACGTTTCTCTCCGGTGACGGCCAGAAAGTCTCACGGGCAACTTTAGGGAAGAGGAGCAAAGGGAAACAAAACTCAGGGCAGTCCGGGGTCTAAGCCTTCCCATCCGAAATTCGGTGCGGATGTATGTCCGCCAAACATTTGGTTGGATCGTGTGATACGGGGGACTCCCCCCCCCAAAAAAAAAACAAAAACATGCAAGCTACCATCCAAGTTGTGGAAATCACGCAGATCTGTGGAATCTGCAGGCTACCAATAGAAGGAGTCTCAGGCACAACATGAAAAACGTGTCCTCCTTCGCCCGCAGGAGGTTTTGCGTCAAGTGCAATCCCCCCAAAAAAGTATTTAGAAAAATACAAAAGGTCCCCCACAAGAAAACCACTGCTTGGTACGGCTCCGAACATGCGCCTGAATTGCTCCCACCGCCTATGATGCCCAGCTGAACCCTGCGAGTGGCTAGTGCCATTCCCACCACTTTGCAGGTGCACCCCTACCCCCATACACAGGCCCATTAAAACAGCGGCCGCTCCTGCAAAGGAAGGTGGCTGCCGGGCCCCTTCACGTTGCTGGAGGAGGGCTTGGCTGCGAACCAAAAACATGCGCTTGTGCGTACTTTGCAATTTCAGACGGGGGAAGCAGGTGATTGCAGCGCGGGCTACAGCAGAACAGCAGAAGCAACCACGAAGCCTGCAGATCGTCAGGGGCGGGCCACAGTTGGGCTGCACAACCGTACGCGCATCATCCAAGAAGGCAACAAACAAGCCGCGTCAGCAGGGTAGAACAAGGGCAAGCATTGGTTTGCACCGGGACCCGGAGAAGCCCTTGCGGCTCATGGTGTCAAAGGCGCCAATGCCATCAACAGAAACGAGCGTGCTACCGGGATCCAGCTCAAGGGCAGCTGTGAGCAGGCGAGCAACACTCCGGGTGGACAAGGCAAACTGCAAAGGAGAGCACGCTGCCGCCTCCTCGCGCGTGCCAGAGCCCGAGCCGCGCCGGAGGCCCTTCGCCCTGCCCTTCGAAGTGCTTATGTCCACCGATGGTCCGGCTTGTTGTGCGCTGCAGCTTCGCTTGCCTTTGCTGACAGCCTCACTTCTTTGCCCTCCCCTGGCCTGAGCAACCTTGATGGGCCTTGCCCGGACTTGAGTGACCTTCTCGCGGCGTGCCCATCTTCCCCTGGGGCGTCGCGGCTGCCGGCCCGGTAGCCGTCGTGTGCACGCGAGGACGCTGCCCTCCGTAAAAACAGCGTGCAGGTGAGGAAGCTGGCCTCCGAAAAAACAGCTTGCAGAACCCTAGTGCCCGGGGCCCCCCTTGAGTGCGACAGAGACGCTGCGGAAAAAGGCGCGACCAAAAAAAAAATGGAAGGCATCGGCTTTCTGCTGGGCAAACCATCGTGCTACCACCACAATGCCTCGGACTCGGCCGTTCGGCTTCTGGAGGGCAACGGTGCCCCATGGGCCAAGCGCTCGCCCTGCATCCCGAGGCAAGTCCGCTCGTGCGACAAGCTGCAAGACGCAGGAAAACAGGTCCGTTTGTTTTTTTGCAGGTCTTTACGCGAGCAACTCGAGCACCTTCTTTGAGAAAGGGGTCCATATGGTTCGGTAGCCTCGAGGCGGGCCGGGCCAGGCTGGGGTGCCAGGCCCAGCGACCTTCATGGCAAGCCGTAATCCACCCATGCTCGGGCAACATGAGGGGCTGAAAGCCATCAGAGTCCGTCGGCCTGGCCCGCAGCGGCTGGTCGTCCTTGCTTGCGGGGCAGGCGGGCGGGAGCCCGAGGCGTGCGTCTTGGCTGATCGCTTGGTGCGCCTCCGGGCACTCCGCGCACCTCAGGCCGTTCGCCGCACTCCCCGTGTGGCCAGCTGCTGAAGGCGAACCCGACCTCGCCGATGTCCTTGCTTTGGCTGGCCCGGACTTGTTGCGCTTCTTTGCGGCGTGGTGATTTTTTTTTTTTTGGTAACGGGCGTCGCCATCACGTTGGACTGGCCGTGCCGAGGAAGAGGGACTCTGCGAAGGCCTGGTGGGCGGCAGACGCGAGCAAGGCGGGCTGAAGGAGGGCCGGGGCGAGCTCACGCACGAGCCCGAGGTGCAGGGCTCCACCGGCCCCCAACCATGGCAAGGGTAGGTTGCGCTCCCGGCGCCGGCCTCACGGTAAGCCTGAGCGGCCGCTCAGCCTGCCGGACGCTGCGCCCCGGCCGATGGTAGTGAGTCGGAGCGCCGAAGGGAAAACGTACGGAACAAGTGCGAAGGGACCAACAAGTGAGGGGAGACCGGAAGGGCCGTATTTCAGTTCGCCCTTTCCACACGTGCCGGCACCGAAGCTCCCGCGCACGCCCTCCAGGCCGCCACGGAGGCGGATCCTGATCTGTGGATGGGGTCGGCTTTTGACACCGTCAGCCGCCTGGCAATGCTCAGCGGTCTTTCCCGCGTGCCCCCCGTGCTACAGGCAAACGCAAAGTCATGCCCAAGGTCATTCCTTGTTGTTCCCCCATGTAAACGCCGATTCCAAGAAGTCACTCCTAAGTCACGCCTCGGCAACAATCCCCATGGAACGCTTGACATCATGCTACAAAAAAAAAGGTGTCAACACTGAAACACAATGGAACGCTACTGATGGCAAAGCATGTTTTCCAGCCCCGCGAGGCGTCTGCAGGAACATGAAAACCAATGGATCGCCAAGCATACGATAGGTTGTTGCAGGAGAGTTTAGTAAAACGTCACACAATGGGTGGGCTTTGCAGGCCCTTGCACCGTGTTTTTCCACGTCCTGGAGTTCTTTCTCTGGAAGGCAGGCAGGCAGGCACATATGCAATGCACCCTGGTAAAAAAACGAGATCAAAACGAGATAAAACCGAGAGATCAAAACGAGATCACCGATCGTCCGTTCAAGAGTTTGGGATATTTTGGGCCCACATGTGCCGAACCCGCGCCCACAAGTTCACTCACTTCTGCACCCGCTCCCATCAACCCACTTCCGCACCCACTTTTCGACTCAATTTCGCACCTGCGGACGCCAGCCGCTCAAGCGCGCCTGCTCAGCCCTCGCACACACGCCAGCCAAATGGTAAGCACCCCCGCTCAAGCACACCCGCTCAGCGCTGCACAGGCGCCAGCCAAATAATAAGCACCCCCTCAAGCGCACCCGCTCAGCCCTGCAAACACGCCAGGTTAGTCCAGGTGAGAGGAAAAGCAAGGTGCCGACTCGAACCAGCTGTAGCAAAAGAGACGTCAAGTCTCAAGATTGCGAAACACACTGTAAACGCTCCTAGGCGGATAAGATAGAACATGCCTAAACCATCCTAAACCCCACGGAATAACCATTTCAACTGCACTGCCTCCCAAAAGCCTATCCCTTCAAA